CACTAAATTTATTAGGAAAAATTTGTTTGGAAGTTTATTTTAACGATCATTCATTTTTAATCGATTGTGCAGTAGTAGATAATTTGAAAAGGGATAATCTTTTGGGTTATGATTTTTTGAATAAATACATGGCAAACTTGTGTATGCGCAATTCAACATTGACCTTATATGATAATAACGAAAAAATAGTAATAAAATTCACCAATAGCGATAGTAAGCCCGCGGCGCAATTGATAGACGATAAATATGAAAATCAATTATCCATTGATTATATGGCTGCGCGAACCAAAATATTAAAACACGTGCCCAAAGACGGATTTTGTGGCGTGAACACTTTAGTTGAAATTTTGAAAAATAAGAATATAGACATAAATTCCCACGGCATTAAACAATTATTAAACATAGATTCCGCGAAACGGCCAGTATGGCTGGATTCAGAAGACTTGGCCGCAGTCGCTTCACATTTTAATAAAAATTTAATAATAATTTCTCAAGGCGACGAGCCTTCCGTCAATAATACCGCCGTCATTGTATTTGTTCAGCCACATCGCGAAAACGTATTCGTCCTTTTCTCACGGAGACATTGGACACCCCTGGTATATGTCCCTAACACGGAGATAAATTTTAAATTTCTTACAGTTATTAAAATTAATGACTCGAGTTCCTTAAGCGTTAGGCGCGATATTTTAACCAAGCGAATTAAAGAGTCCGATTTCACTGATAGTATGGAAAACAATAAGAACCAACAATTGCTATCTCGAGTTTCTAACAATGCAGACGTGATCAGAGAACCATTACTGAACAAACGCGCTTCAAATAAAAATTTCGCAGAATTCACCCGTGGCAATAACAATACGTCGCGAACGTTGTCTGAAAATTTGAAATATGATATCAATCCATCATTGTCTCCCGATATGATAAATAAATTAAATACGTTACTAAATGAATTTTCTCACGTTTTTTCAAAAACCAAATACGACTTGGGAGAGGTTCACCACCCTGAAATTGAACTAAAATTAAGTAATAATCAAATTATCAACCTACCAAATTTTAAATTAAGCGCCATAGAAAGAGCTGAAGTCGAAAGGCAAACTCAAGAACTTTTAAAAGCAGATATAATAGAACCATCTACAAGCGCGTACTCTAATCCAATATTTTTAGTAAGAAAAAATTTACCACAAGGGGATAAAAAAGGTAAAACCCCTCAAGAATATAGAATGGTTCTTGATTACAGAAAATTAAATTTAATATTATTACGAGAAAGCTTTCCTATGCCAATCATACAAAACGTCTATGACTGCTTGGCAGGTAACAATTACTTTTCCTTATTAGACGCATCGAGCGGTTTTTACCAATTCAAACTTTCCAAAGATTCGAGACAATACACAGCCTTTTCGACAGAAACCGGTCACTATCAATTCAAAAGATTACCAATGGGCCTTAATAACGCGCCGTCCATTTATCAGTCTGCCATGTGCAAAATCATGGGAGGCCTTAATTATAAAAACAATGTTTGCTACCTCGACGACTGTGTCATTTTTGGCAAAACATTTGATAGCTATTTACATGCAATAAAACTTACATTAGAAAGATTTTCATACTACAAACTCAAATTAAAACCATCTAAATGCGAATTCGGATACCAAGAAATTAAAGTTTTAGACAACGTAATAAATTCACAAGGTATAAAACCAACCGAACAAGGCCTAGAGTCAATAAAAAAATTTCCATCGCCTTTTAACATCAGGCAACTCCGTAGCTTTCTCGGGCTAGCTAACTATTTTCGAAAATTCATCCCAAACTTTAGTAAAATTGCAAAGGCTTTAACAGATTTAACATAAGGGATATTTAAAAGTAAGCGCGATAAAATTAATTGGACAAACGAGCACGAAAAAGCTTTTCAAGAACTCAAAAATAAATTAACTAGTGAGCCTCTTCTAGCACATTATAACGAAAACTATCAATCGATAATCGTACCAGACGCGAGTCGCGAGGGCCTTGGCGTAATTTTGCAGCAAAAAGACGATAGTGGCATAATTCGACCAGTTTCATATGCTTCCAAAAAATTAACTTCTGCTGAATCTAATTACTCAGCAACGGAACTCGAAGTTTTAGCCATACATTTTGCATTCACCCAATATCGCCAATATCTACACGGTAGACAAATAACAGTTTGGACCAACCATAAAAATTTAACGAACTTCATGAATATAAAAACGGAATCCAACGTAANATATCTACACGGTAGACAAATAACAGTTTGGACCGACCATAAAAATTTAACGAACTTCATGAATATAAAAACGGAATCCATCGTAGTTAACCGAATAAGAAATAAATTAATGGGATATGACTTTAAAATAATTTATAAAAAAGGTATTTTTAATAAGGCTGCCGACCATTTATCGCGTTACCCTTATTCAGAAACCGGAAACGGCAAAATCGAACTATTTCCATTAGATTCAATAAAACGCGAAAACGTTAATATTAACTTAGTTCAATCAATTAATATTCAAGTAGATCAGACAAATGATGAATATTTACAAAATATTATAACGGCAATTAGAAATCCCGACGCGAGCAATAATAAATGGATTAACAAGGCAAAACACTATTTTATTGATAAAAATGGCGCTTTATATTATATTATTAAATATCATAACATGACAAAAAAAGTATTAGCCTTACCTTCTAAGTACATTGAAAACATAATTACCGATAGTCATGATAGTCCCTTGAGCGCACATGTAGGTTTCACTAAAACTCTGGAAAAGATTAAAAATAGATATTTCTGGCCAAAATTTCGCAAAAATATAAAAAAATATGTGTTAAGTTGCGAAAGTTGTCAAAAGCGAAAATCGTATAAACAACCAAAACCACCTAAAGCAGGTAGATATCCATTAGATAATTGCGGGATAATGGAAGAAATTTTTTTAGATTACATTGGTCCACTTGAAAATTCGAAATCATACAAATATATACTTGTCGTAACCGATCGGCTATCTAAATTTTGCGTAGCTAGACCTTACACAAGTGCCAACGCACAGAGTACAAACAAATTTCTGTTAGACTTCATTTTAAGATTTGGACCACCCAAAATTATTAGGTCAGATAATGCTAAACATTTTACTGCTAATTGGATTTTAGAACTTTTAGATTCTCTACATATAGATAAAACATTTGGAATTCCTTATAAGCCCACTTCTCAAGGGCAAGTCTAACGGCAAAACCAAAGTCTCATTGATATGATTGCCCACTATGTCCAAGATAACAACAAATGGGCCGACTATCTGCCTTACATAGTCTTTGCATATAACACTTCAGTACATGAGGTTACTAAGTATGCTCCCCACTACTTAGTTCACGGTTATCATCCTAAAAGTATATATGACCTAGCTCTTATACCCCCAGACAACGCAAATGTGTTATCTGAACTTGATAATTTAAACCATGTCCGAAAAACTTTGCCAAAAATAATTGAACAAGCATCAAACAACACCATTTCAAAATTAAACTTTCCGAAACACGTCGCGCAATACTCTGCTGGAGACAAAGTACTAGTTAAGGTCCCCATTCGAACCAATAAATTCGACAATCGCTATGAAGGGCCCTACGAGATTGTCAAACAAACGGGTCCCTATACATATTTAATAAAAATGTATAAAAATAATATACTCAAAGACTCGCCGGTTCATGTTGACCAAATGAAACCCTACGTTTCTAGAAACTAATTTCAAATTAATTTTGACTTTTCTTTTCTCATTCTCCTCATTTTTATTGTGTTCATAATTTTCTACCACACCATGCGAATAATGTGCTATTCCACACATATAAATATATATGTGTATATACTAGGGACATGTGTATTATACGCTTGAATTTGCTACCTCATCATAACAAAATAATTNTATAATAAAAAACCCTCTATCTACGACTTCGAATCTGCCATCTCCCAACTATCGGATTTTTTACTATTAAATAACATACGGGGGGTTACCCTGCCTCCGATCGGAATGAATCGCGACAAAATACCTATTGAAATCGGAGCGCACCTCATTTACCATCATTTGCTGTGCCGGGGACTAAATGTAAGAATATGTGCGACGGACTAACTCTACCGCCACTTGTGCCATCAGTTCCATCTGCTAGAACACCGACATTTCATTAAAACCAATCATTATATTTAATTATATTTTTGTATCTTGTATTATTTAGTTATTTATTTATATAAATTTTCTCAGTCTATCAATTAATTACAAAAGCGTTCATAATCATTCTTAGAGTTTATTTTATTACTACACAGTTTACCATATTCAATTTAAATGTCAGCCGTTTAACATCTAACTTCCATAGTTCGCCAAACATCTTGTTTATACCCGGATGACCATTCCCGGATGATTTTATTTTTCCCAGACGTATTTTCCTGGATGATTTTATATTTTTTCCCGGACGACCATTCCCGGATGATTTTATTTTTCCCAGACGTATTTTCCTGGATGATATTATATTTTTTCCCGGAGACCATTCCCGGATGATTTTATTTTTCCCAGACGTATATTCCTGGATGATTTTATTTTTGTTTTTCTCCCGGATGATTTTATTTTTCCCAGACGTATTATCCTGGATGATTTTATATTTTTTCCCNTTTTCCTGGATGATTTAATTTTTTTTTTCCTGGATGACCATTCCCGGATGATTTTATTTTTCCCAGATGCTTTTCCTGGACGTTTTTATTTATTCACAGGACACCATTCTTTCGATCTTAACACCGCGCAACCTTGCTGATGCAGCGTAATGGCCAACGAAGCATTTTAATAGGCAGCGCACTGAGAATTAATATTGATTCCTGATTCCTGACCTCTAATGTACAACATTATGAGTGTATTTATTATTACACCTTGATTTGTCATAAATATATTATTATTATTATTTTTTTTTTCTCGTTTTTCATTTATACATGGCAACTATTGGTATTTTATCTTTAAATCGCAAATTAATTATTAACACGCACGTTACGGATTTTCCATCAACTTATGGTATGACTTGTGAACTTATATATTTAATTTTAAATCTACGATAATCCAATATTTTATAATTTATAAAAATCTAATTATTTTCATTTAAGTTTTTATAAATAATAATTGATTTTATCTCACGCACAGTCGCCCACAGTAAACATAGTAGCATAAATATAAAAAAACAAAAAAAAAACCTATTAAGAGATCCGCCTACGTTTACACCGTTTAGCTCTCATTCATACATTTGCTTATTCCATATAATTCATAGCGAGTACATTAAATAAATCACGAACAATTGGTACGCTTATTAAAGCATTTTTCTATTTTGTATGGTATATTGTAGTGATGCGTACACATATATATTATTAATAAATGAGTTAGTTTCAGGCGTCAATAAAGGAAACAATCTCGACAAATTAAACAGCTGTCTTCACAGCTACCTTAATAACATATATATTTTTTTTTATTGTATGAAAACTTTGAACTAAGAAACATAAGCGCAAGTCTGCAACTTCAAGAACTCGCTATTGTAAATTTTTTTTTTTATTGCGCGTATATTAACTGGATCTGACTTTTACGAATGAGATGACATTTTTTTTTTTTCTCTCTCCTCTTAAATCAATTGTCCATTTTACATTAAACATTCGCTTATGCATGATTAACGTAACTAAGACACCTATGTAAATGTAAGCTTGGTTTTTTGACAACGTTTTGACTACTTACATTAGATTAAAGTAACTCAAATACATTTTAAATGTTAACTAAATTAATTATCAACTTTATACCTATATTATTAGTGTTATTATTACTATTATTATTATTCTTTTTATATTCATGCATAAGGTTAATTTTACAATGTCGACTTTTACCCTGATAATTTTTAAATGCAATTAAACGTTGTCCATCTTACACAAACCACGTGAACAAAATGTTGCCAAACTTTGGTGCCCCGAGGCTTATCAAGAAGCCGACGACAGGGCAGAGCTTCTCATAGGAACCACTTGGTAGCCGACTATTGAAAGCTCCACCGAAGGAAGCTCCTCAAAGGCTCAAGAGCCTACGAACCTAGGAGTGTGGTCATCGAAAACAACAAGTGGTTTTGTGCTATGATGACACTGTACCTCCTTGATCAACCAATAATATTACCTTTATTTTCAGGATTTATGTACTTTTATCAACAATTCCCTTTTCACTGTATTGTTTTTCTTTTAAAAGATTCAGAGACGAATCTTACCGGGGGAGGGCGAACTGTAACGTACACATTATTCGTCCTTCACCAACATTAACATTTCAATACCACACTAGTGCCTGATCAGCACAAACGTCCCTATGACCTACTACAGATATGCGGCACGCGCGGGTGTAAACAAAACCGATGATATTCTTTTTCATTAAAGCAAATATATAACGACAGGCAGTCGACATTTTACCACGCTCGCGGCAACTCATTATTTATTGCAGATTATATTTTTATTACTACAACTTAATTCCGACAATATTATTTTCTACTATTAATTTAACTATTATTATTTATTTATTTACAATCGGATTTGTGTACGTTCGCCGCTGTCGCTCACCTAATTTGGATGCCACAACATCTCTAGAGATCCAGTCAGGTTATATTTAAATATACTATTAAATAGAAATAAATGTTTGTTATCGTTGTTAGTTAAGAGTCTATATTTATTGGTCACGAAACCGCTAACCGCCCTTCTAGTGGGATATAAATTATATAGGGCCAGCGTTGCCCCGTTAAGGTACAGCTTAGCCAACTGTTAGGATCCTAGCGGGAAAGCACGTTGCAATATCATAGTAAAATACCTCAGATATGTACAAGCGTATTTTAAAATATACAATTAAATACGAATAATCTTAATGCGAACAATGTTCTTGTCAGTCTTTCATTATTGTTTCAAAATTTGAAAGCAGTTGATAATCGGATTTATTTTTAACACGCTTATATTAGTTTCACTTGTATGTGTGTTGTGTGTAACTCTCAACACACCACGTGTTATCTCGCGTATCCCGTCGTCTATTGGGGAAACCTCCAAAAAAATTACAAATTTAAAAATCGCTAATTTTCAAATTTTTTTCAATTTTTTTTACTAAAAACTGCCGTAACTTTTTCAAAAATGAACATATCAGTATAATTGTTTTTCTTTATAGACGCTTGATGTCTTTACCTATCATTTGGTATATTTTTTTTGTAAATTTGACCCTTTACCTGCCCACAGGGGGGGATTTAAAATGACAACTTTTTCACAAAAAATTTACTTTTTCAACTTAACTTTTTAAAATGTTCCGGAAGATCTGTCACTTTTATATATATCTTAAATTAAAGCTAATGTAATATACTTTAATATGAAAAAAAAAAAAATTTGACCTCTGCACTTGTCTTCACGATGAAAATGGCTAACCGAATGCTATAACTTATTGAAAAGTGTATGGATCAACATAATTTTTTTATGAGAAATAATATTTTTTAATAATCCCTTTTTCATTCNTTTATGACGATATTAGCAAGCATATAGCCTTTATTATCAATGGTAACAAGACACATTGTTGTGAGTTTATAAACACATTAACTGGCAATACAGAAATTATAACCATTTCTAGTGATAATTGATAATAAACACTCCGTGACTGTAACAGCGATGTCATAAAAAACTAAAAAGTGAAAAATAAATATAGTTTAAAAAAACTGAAAAACACGCTTTTAAAGCATATCGAACTAAAAAGTTAAAAATAAGCTTAAAACAATAATGAACGAATAATACTAGTATCATCGTGAAAAAAATCGTGAGGGGTTGTGCCATATTTTTCGTATATTGAGCGACCGACGCTGTTTTTCACAATAATAGTATTATTTTTCGTTCATTATTGTTTTAAGCTTAATTTTAACTTTTTAATTTGATAAGCTTTAAAAGCGTGTTTTTAATAAGTTTTTTTAAACTATATTTTTTTACATTAAGTTTAGATCAACACTTACATTTTAATACGCTGCTTTAATAAAATTACAGAAAATCACTATGCATTGAAGCGTTTTTTATAAAAAAACGCTTCAATGCACATCTGTAAATAGTGTTTAATTTAAAAAATTGTTGGATTATTACAAAAGCTACATGATCTCCTATTTCCTTATTTATATCCAGATTACAAGTTTCATAAGATTTGTAAGTGCAATATATAAATATATAAAAGGAAATGGTTTTATTTAAAAAAAATGTTTGTCGAATGAAAGAGGTATATAAATAGTATTTATTATAAACAAATTTTATTGACCCATATATTTGTCAAAATTTAAAGCATTATAAAATTAATAATATAAAAAAGAATTTTTTTACAAAAATCATATTTTTTTATGAACTTTGATGTTAGTTTTCACGATGAAAATAAACTAAAGTCTGATTTTTTTCATTTAAATATTAAAGTATATTACATTAGCTTTAATTTAAGATATATATAAAAGTGTCAGACTTTCTGGAACACATGTTACATTATAATTGTTATTATTTTGACTCTTTCTGACAACACTTATCTGCGTGATCGAACTTGGACTTAGAACACTCAGTTCATCACATAGCATCGAAGCTAAAATATCATGTCTATTATTATTATTGTTCCTTTTAAAATAACGATCTTTAAAATATCATTCCTATTAGATATTGTTTCATGATAAACTATTCCGTATAATTTAATTCCTGATAAGTGTTTTCCAGATTTGTATAGTCCTCCAATAAGAATAGTGATTTTTGAATATTCAAAGTAGTGTACACTCAAAACACTGAATATTTCTAAATAATAGCATAAATAAGAACATTTAAAGTAATATCATTTTGTGGCTATGAATCATCATAACAGTGGTGACAACCGTATTTTAAATTCTTCTTGATGCACGTTGTTTTTATGGTGTTATCTTTTTTTTTGTTAGTAGTATTATAACAGATATAATAAAATTATTTGTGGTATTATCTTTTAAGTAGATTTTCCCCGCCAACAATATTATTAACAGTATTATACTTCACGTACATATTCTTTAATTATTTTTATCATACAGTGATAATCATAAATGTTATTATGGTAATAAATTTTGTAATTTTGAAATTACTATTATGTATTCGTTTTATAATTTATTTGTGTCATGTAGAAATATCTTAATGGTTTAAACTTGTAAATTATAATAGACAAAGAAATCCTACCAAAATGTTTTGAAAATCATAGCAAATATTTACTGATCAAATAAATGTTGTGCTTTTAATTTAGTAAGTTCCTAAAATACTTCATACTATGCAAGTTTTAAATATGATTAGTAAAATAAGTTGTTATAATTAGTTATTCGAACTTTTATCAGTTATTTTTACTAATTTTGCTGTTTAAATCATTGAAAAGTTTTATTATTTCGAATGATATTAATGTACAAACATAAAGTGAGTCGAGTAAATAATTGGACATTGTATAGAAAAAATAATTTGCCTATTGAATTGCTGTCATCTTATAAACTTTTAAATATGATTTAATCACTCGTTCAACATTTTCTAATGGTGTTGCTCATACTTTAAGGACTATAAGATGATGATGTTTCAAGAGACAAATTAATTGTCTAGACAGTTTGAATATTTACTTAATTCGCTGTGGTTACCTAATACAATACAATTTATAGTTTTCACTGAATCCTTGTTTTAATTTTCTTAACTATTTATTTTTAAAAGTTAAAATATTGAAAAATTAATTAAATTTTTCATGAGAGTTGTATTTTAAAAATATTGCAAAATAAAACAACTAGTAAAACCAATTGCACCCAAAAAAATGTAATATTTTACAAATACCAAATTAATAGAAAATAGAAATTATGAATATTTAAAACATTGAAAATGAGCCACTTGACTAAAAATTAGTTTACTTTTATGGTAAAATTTAATGTTTATATTTAATAATAATTTATTTATATAGTTTAAATGATGTAAAATTAGTTCCTTAACTAAATAATCAATATTTATAGAAATAATCTTTTTTGAATCAATCAATAAAAAAGTTCTAAACAAGTCTTTAATCATTGTAGTTAAATAATTAACATTAAATTAGGGTTATGAACAGAAATAATTTTGGTTTTTTAAACTTTTTGCTATGTCTAGTAAGTCAGTTTGATCTGTATCCAATTTTTTTTAAGAACTTATGAGATTAATATTTGTAGAAATTGAATGTATTATCTTTATTAATGGTTAAGGTTTTACTTAATCAAACCTAAAGTTTCAGTTTGATTTTAAGTTTAATTAAGATTTCAAAGTCGATCTTATAACAATTTTGGTTTTTGTAATCATTCTATTAAAATTTACTAAAAAACAACCAATCAAATAAACCTAGCACAGAGAGGTCATGGCACAGTAGTGACGTTGCATAGTTGGATCAAGTATAATGATATCTGACAGTGATTAAAATCACTATAAAAAAAAAAACACTTCGGTGCAAATCTTTAGATAGTGTTTAATTTTAAAAAATTGGTGGATTATTCCAAAAGCTACATGATCTGCTAGTTCCTTATTAATATCCTGATTAAGATAAAGTATGTTGAATGAAATTTGAATGAAAAAAAAAATTCTTTTTTATATTATTAATTTTATAATGCTTTAAATTTTGACAAATATATGGGTCAATAAAATTTGTTTATAATAAATACTATTTATATACCTCTTTCATTCGACAAACATTTTTTTTAAATAAAACCATTTCCTTTTATATATTTATATATTGCACTTACAAATCTTATGAAACTTGTAATCTGGATATAAATAAGGAAATAGGAGATCATGTAGCTTTTGTAATAATCCAACAATTTTTTAAATTAAACACTATTTACAGATGTGCATTGAAGCGTTTTTTTATAAAAAACGCTTCAATGCATAGTGATTTTCTGTAATTTTATTAAAGCAGCGTATTAAAATGTAAGTGTTGATCTAAACTTAATGTAAAAAAATATAGTTTAAAAAAACTTATTAAAAACACGCTTTTAAAGCTTATCAAATTAAAAAGTTAAAATTAAGCTTAAAACAATAATGAACGAAAAATAATACTATTATTGTGAAAAACAGCGTCGGTCGCTCAATATACGAAAAATATGGCACAACCCCTCACGATTTTTTTCACAATGATACTAGTATTATTCGTTCATTATTGTTTTAAGCTTATTTTTAACTTTTTAGTTCGATATGCTTTAAAAGCGTGTTTTTCAGTTTTTTTAAACTATATTTATTTTTCACTTTTTAGTTTTTTATGACATCGCTGTTACAGTCACGGAGTGTTTATTATCAATTATCACTAGAAATGGTTATAATTTCTGTATTGCCAGTTAATGTGTTTATAAACTCACAACAATGTGTCTTGTTACCATTGATAATAAAGGCTATATGCTTGCTAATATCGTCATAAAAAACCAATTAGCTACCTGTATTTGTAATCTCTTATGTATTATACATGTATATTAATTCAAAAAAACTCAGCACAGGAGGGTCGCGGCACAGTGGTGACGTTGCATAGTTGGATCAAGTATAATGATATCTGACAGTGATTAAATTCACAATAATAGTATTATTTTTCGTTCATTATTGTTTTAAGCTTAATTTTAACTTTTTAATTTGATAAGCTTTAAAAGCGTGTTTTTAATAAGTTTTTTTAAACTATATTTTTTTACATTAAGTTTAGATCAACACTTACATTTTAATACGCTGCTTTAATAAAATTACAGAAAATCACTATGCATTGAAGCGTTTTTTATAAAAAAACGCTTCAATGCACATCTGTAGATAGTGTTTAATTTTAAAAAATTGGTGGATTATTCCAAAAGCTACATGATCTGCTAGTTCCTTATTAATATCCTGATTAAGATAAAGTATGTTGAATGAAAAAGGGATTATTAAAAAATATTAAACCATTCGGTTAGCCATTTTCACCGTGAAGACAAGTCCAGAGGTCAAATTTTTTTTTTTTTCATATTAAAGTATATTACATTAGCTTTAATTTAAGATATATATAAAAGTGTCAGACTTTCATTTTTTAAATTTTTTAAAAAGAAATCGGTTCTCTGAGAGCTGAAAAAAAGTGGGAACAGGCAAAAAAAAAAAAAAAAAATGAACACATCTTAGTAAAACCAATACCTACTCAGCTTCGCATCGAAGCTAAAAAATGATATTAATGAACTAATTTACTAGATATAAAAAAAATTGGTCAAAAACAGAGATTATTTTAGCTCATAACCTTTCATTAAGTTATATATTATCATAGTATTGATATAACATTGTTAAGTATTTAATATACATGCACGAATTGATATAAAATAATAAATACCTTTATTAAATGATTTAAAAATTAAAAAAAATAAGTTTTTCAATTTCCTAAATGTTATATATGCCTTCATAAAATATTGCCATTCAATTATTTATTTTATGTTCTACTTGTGTTATTTTTAAACTGTTGTGTTGTGATATAATCCATGATTGTGACTTGTGAAGTTAAATAAATACATTAAAAATTAAGATGATGAAAATTTAGATTGAATAATAAAAAAAAAGATAAGTATATTATCTTGTTTTAATAATCATTTGCATAGGGTTATTTATGTGAGTAAATTTTTCTAAATTTATTTTATAGTATTTTCATATTTTTGTAAAAAATATTGTTTTTGTTTTAGGTAAAACTGGATGATAGTTGTATAAATAAACTATAACAATGACATTGAATGAAATTTCTGATCACGAACTTAAAATGAGATTAGCTAACTTTGGGGTTTTTAATCCAATTACAAATTCAACTAGAAATATATTAATAAAAAAGCTATTAAATTTAGAAAAAACATCTAAGTACAAACAAATTCAATCAACTTCAGTTGAATATATGGTAATTATATTCATATGAAATTTTTTTAAACTAAATCTTAACAAAACAAAATTATGATTTTCTCAAAAAAGAAAAATTGATAAAAAAAAACCTGTGGCATAGTTGGGGGGTCCAGTTTAAATTTAATTTGACAGTGATTAAAATCATTTCCTTAATTATAACTAAATTAGTAATTCTTAGAGTCAAAAATGTAATATATATTTTTTTAATTAGATATTATATAATTTTTATAATTAATTGTTTTCAAATTATTATTGATTTTGAATTTTAATATATTAAAAGTAATAATTTTTAACCTATTTTATTTTGTGAAAGTTTATAATATTAAAAAAAAAAAAATGAATTTATTGCCATAACTTTTAGCTCAACTTGCATGTTTGAAATTGACATCATTAAATAGTAAAAATGGTATTGTTAATACCATTGTTAATGGTATTGTTGCATGGATAAAGCTTGTGTGATGGAATCCTTGATATTTATTGAAGTTAATGAATCTAAATGAGATAAAAAAAAAATGCAAAATATTAAGGCCATAGTTGAATTTGAACTTGGTACCCTAACAGTGAAAGATACAAGTGTTACCGATTCAAGAACTGTTTGTTGTTTTTGTCGATCAATTAAATTGGCAAATTAAGAATATTCAAATTTTAAAGTTACTTTTTCGACTTTAAAAAAACAAAAAAAATTTAAATAAATTTAACTTCTTATATCTTATGAACTGTATTCTATGTCAATTAAATTACATAATATTCATGAAATTCAGTGTATACCCCTTGTAAGATATTTTAAAATAAAATAAAATACAAAACACAAAACAGCATATTTTTGAATACGGTAGCCATTTTCATGAAGAAGAAAATCTATTTTTTGAATTTTTTTTTTTCATAGTAAAGTATATAATATAAGCTTTATTGAATATTAAATAGAAGTGTCAATATTTCATGAACATTTTCAAAAATTACTTTGAAAAAGCTTAACTTGTGTGAAGAAATTGTTTTTTTTAATACCCCCTGCGGTTAGGTTTAGAGTTAGATTTTCAAAAAAATTATATATAATGAAAGGGAAATATCTAAGGTTTCAGTATAAAAAAAAATTATGTTGAAATGATTATTTTTGAAAAAGTCATGGTAGTTTTAAGAAAAAAAATTTCAAAAATTACTGATTTATAAAATTGTAATTTTTTTGGAGGTTTCCTCCATCTACGGGGATCGTGGGAAATTTTTTCAATTTTTGAGGGTAATGTCTTCGACTAGATATGATTTGTGATCTTTTGACGTATCGTTGAGAAAAATCGGTTCAGTAAAAGCTGAGAAAAAGTAGCAACAGACACAATAAAAAAACACATCATGGTATAATTAATACCCTCTCAGCTTTGCATCGAAACTCAAAAATAATTATTCAAGTTCATTAAATTTTAACTATTTAAAATGATTAAATAAAAAAGGAAAAAATGCAATCAATTAATTCATAATAAATATAATTATAAAAACAACACACAAAAACTCCAAAAAAAACTACATGATTTACATAAAAAGAATTTTGTTTTTTAGTTACGATGCAAAGCTGAGAAAGTATTAATTTTACCATGATATGTTTTTTTTGTGTCTGTTGCTACTTTTTCTCTGCTCTCACTGGACCGATTTTGATAAACAATATGTCAAAAGATCACAAATCGTATCTAGTTGAAGACATTACCCTTAAAATTGAAAAAATTTCACTCGTTCCCCGTAAATGGAGGAAATTTCCAAAAAAATTACAGTTTTTAAAATTGATAAATTTTGTTATTTTTTTTATATTCAAACCTTAGATATTTTCCTTTTATTTGATATCATTTTTTTGAAAATTTAACACTTAACCTGTTCACTGGGGAGATTTAAAATTTTTATGAAAATTAACTTTTGAAAATGTTCCGGAAATACTGCATTCTTTTAAGATATATCAAATTAAAGCTTATGTCATGTACTATAAAATGAAAAAAATTGTCCCGAGGAATTATCTTCTATGTGAAAATAGCTGCCGTAGTTGGGTTATGTATGTATCACCACAAATATTTTTTTACTAAATACATTATGTATATCTCTTTTAATCAACATACTTTTTTTTTTAATCGGACAATTTTCCCTTATACAAGGGGCATTCAAAACTTGAAACATACGTATAAAAATTAAAACTTTTTCAACTTAATTTTTGAAAATATTACGAAAATACTGCGTCCTTTAAACATGTCAAATTAAAGCTTACATTACTTCAATATGAAGTATATTAATATAATATAAATTTCGAACTTTATTTTTTTTTCATGATCAAAACAGGCATTAATGTTAATAAAAAAATACAAATTTTGTAAAAACATTCTTTTTTATATTTTTTATTTTATAATTCTATAAAATTCTTAAAAAATGTATGGATCAATACAAATTTTTTATGAGAAATACTATTTATATATCTCTTATATTCGACATACTTTTTTTTTAAATTTTCCTTTATACAGAGGTAGTTCAAAACTTAAAATGCGTACAGAAAGTAGAACTTTTTCAACTTATTTTTAATTAAAATATATTTTTTGATTATTCATACGTAACCTAATAATCATACATAAATATTTGTTATATTAATTAGAAGGATTTTGTTAATATTTAGGCCATATGTGTAACTCTAATTACAGATTTGAAATCTGTGCATTAATGGGTTTAGAAAAGTATATTTTGGTTTTGGATGAAAATTTCTTATAGACCAGTTAATTTATTTATAAATAACAATTTTTTTTTAAGTATTGCATGAAAACCTTCAACTTTTATATATGTTTGCCATAAAATTAATAACTACTTTATAATTTTTTATAGTTTCACCGTAAAAATTACAATACTAAATTATTAAATGTCAATTTCATACTATATTTAATTGCTATATAAATATTTATTCATATATTACACTTATAAATCATAAAACTTGGAATTAGGATATAAATAAGGAAATAGGAGATTATGTAGCTTTTGGAATAATCCAACAATTTCTTTAAATTAAACACTATCTACCGATTTGCATCGAAGTCTTTTTTATGATAGTGATTTTAATCACTGTCAGATATCATTATAATTGACTCAACTATGACACGTCACCACTGTGTTGCGACCCCTATGTGCTGGGTTTTTTTTTAATTTTAATTGTAGGAGATCTACTTTATTTAATGAGGTATTTTTTAGTTTTCTATAATAGTAAAAAAAAAATATGTCACAATTTATGTGAAGTTTGTTCTACTGTAAAGTATTAAAAATTAATTAACCTTTTCTTTACCTTATTTTAAAAATTATCTACTAACTCAAACAATATTAATACATATTTCCAGGAAATTATGTCTGATGAGAATCTTAGAATCAGACTTTCCAAATTTGGTATTACATGTCCAATTACAGATTCTACAAGAAGTGTATTGAAAAATAAACTGTATAATTTAGAAACAGAACTGCAAGAGAGATATACCAATCATGAATATGAATTAATGGTTATTAATTTATTTAAAAAAAAATTGATATTTATTTTATTATTAAATATTTTTAACATAGAAAGAAAATATTACCAGGGAATGGATTTATTTGTAATTAAAACTTCTCGGTGAATAATAATAATTAATATTTGGTAAGGTATAAATACGTTTTATAAATTTTTGGCTTGGTGGTATTAATTTTATTTTACATATTTGGGTAAAAATTGATATTTTTACGTATTTTTTTAATTATTATACAATTAACACATATTTTGGTAATATGGCATTATTTGTCTTATTATTTGGGTTTTTTTTTGATATAAATTGGCAAAATCGTTTCTCTTCATAGAATAAAATGTTATCTTAATAACGTTCACAACTATATCAGTCTGTAGCACATAAAACACCTTACATTTTAAACTTGTTGCCGAATAAACTGTTTCATTTACATAATTTTTATATTTTATTATACTGAAAAGACTTTCTAAATGAAATGTTCAAAAATTGTTGGAAAATTCTACTTTGTACATGTTGTGAATAATAGGTATCAATAGGTTGACATGTTCAAATGAGTCAACATATTTCTACTGTTAAACATCAACAAAATAAAAAATGCATTTAAACATGGTTTATTTTATTGTGTCTTCTTCATTATCTGATGAAAACTAATCAAAATTTAATAATTATTTATGTCGAAATCTTGTTTTTGCGGATATTTCTTTTTTTGAAACAAAAAGTCCTGCTTTTAAGAATTTATTAGAACACTATATCGATATAAGAATTCCAGAAATTACAATAATTAAGTTATTTCAGTGTAATTTATAACAAAACATTAATTTTTTCTTAATCAATATTAATATTGATTAGACAAAATAATCAGAATAAAAAAATTAATAGTTAATTTTATTTCTATAGAAATAGCTAATATGAAATGTGCTCGAATTGCGTTAGTTGACAAAGAATCATCATTAAGCCAATAATAGAATATTTTACAACTAACCATCAAAACTTTCATTTTTTTAATTTAAGAGTATTTGGTTTTGCATTGTTTTAATATTAATTAATCAATCAAAATTATAACATTTTTAATTTATAATATTATTTAATTGATCAATTATATAAATAACAACTTATTTTTATTTAAAGAGACATTTTTTTTTTTTGTTTTTTAAAGATTATAAGATATTAAATTGAAATAAATTAATACAGTTTGGTTATTTTTTTACATATAATCTGAATACATATATTTGTTGGTTTTTCTATTAAATTAAAATCCATTCCTTGATTATTAAAATATTGTTAATAGATTTCAATAACTTCTATTTTTATTATTATTTAGGATACATCATCAAATGATATGAATGAATATGAAATACAAAATAGACTGTTGGAAGATGGTAGTAATTTACCCAAAAAAAGAAGACATAACTAATATTTTAGGAAAGAAATAATTGTTTTTAAAAAATAATTTTCTTTAACTATGTTATTTACATTTTTATTTTATTAAAAATTGTTATTAAATAAACAAATTTTTATGTTAGTATTGTATTTGTATTAATGTTCAATATATAAAACTTATTTGTTATTTTCTCTTTTATTGTCTAAAAAGTTAATATCTTTTATGAATATGTTACTGATACAAATAAATGGTAAGACTTTATATTTAATATTGTTTATTTATTTATTTAATGTTTTAATAAAAACAATTTTATAATTATTAAAACCTACTCTTAAAAACATAGTTTGCTATTGATTATAATAGAGCCAATTTAATATATTTGATGATGTTATATATTCAATGAGAGTTAAATTTTGAATTTCTAAACCTATAAAAAAGTTTTAGTAACAATGTTTAAAAATTAAATTAAATAGTTATATAATAGTTTAATTATAATAAATGATTTATGTGTAGGTGTTTGAAATTTTGCTATGGAAGAAGTATTTGACGATTTTTCATCAAATGATGATGATATTTTGGCCTCAGTATTGGAAGAAAGTATTAGGTAAACAAAAAGTTTTTCATTGTGAATATAAATTTTAGAGAAACATATTAAAATATACATGTTTATAGTGTAGGAACACAAAAATAAAATTATTTTATGGTTAAAAAATTTAAATTTTTCTTTTTTTTTTTTATTATAATTATACATGAATAATTAGTATTACTTTTCCAAATGTGTTGATAGTCACATTAATATATTTAAAAAAAAATTTATAATTCTAAGTCAAAGTTATTTTTATTTTTTTATTATGCTGATAATTAGCAATTATTGTATTCTATTAAAAATTTTAATTTAATATTACATTTATTATCAGGAGATTGAGTGAATGACATAGTACTGTATCTCTTGCCTTAACTTGCCTCATTTTTGTCATTATTTTCTAGGCTATAGGTTAAAAAGTGAAAAATATTAGTCATTTTTTAAGATTTTATTTATTTATTGTATAGCTTCTAACTATTACAATCATTTAACTCACAACATCATACAATAAAAATAAATGTTAATGCTAGTATAAGTATAAAAAGTCGTAAAATAACATATATACTCAACAAATAATAACATAAATATGATAAATCACTAAAACTTAGTGTCTAGTTTGGTTATCCAATCTACCGCACTATCCGTGATGTCAAATAGTTTTCTCACGCCTCCTTGAAATTTCCTATTAGAAGAGTCCATGATAAATTGTATGCTGATTCGCCACAATCTCAAATGGGCTGGGTTCAGATATCATCTGTGAATAAGTCTTACGCATCTATCAACTCCTGTTCTTATCTAGTTAAGAATTAATCATTCCTGACATGAGACAGAAAAATATTTTAAGGATCTAGTAATTACTCTCATGGCACTATTTAGCTGTGTGTCTATTTTGTAATGTCTTCACACTTTATCATACGCAGCAGTGAGGTCAATAAACACCGCAGACGTCTTCATACTGTTTTGGAATCCTGTTTCCATGTGGATAGTTAGTTCAAGTATATTTTTGGTGTAGTTATGATGTTTATGATTTTTGTGACAAGCTAAGTATGTTATTAAAGAATATAGCTAACTAAGTTTGGGGTTTGGGATCGTTGTGCTTAAAAACTTTCGCATATACGTCATCAAAGCCGGTTGTTTCCAATTTCATGTTGCCAATTGCCACCATCACTTCATTTATTGAAAAAGATGCACTTTAGTTAGCGCATGGGGCAAGTTCTTTCTTTCTCACTTCGCAATTTCGTTTTATAGTCTTTTTATGTATTTTATTAGTCTTCACCATGACAACTTCCATAAGTCTAGCTGCCACATCATTAAGGTTTATGGTATTAAATTAGTCAGGCTTAGGTAATTTCCGAACAGAGTTTCTTTACTATGTCCTAGACTTGTTAGTTGGAATGGGTAAAGCTTTAGTTGGCAGTGGTTTTGTGCCACTTATTGTATTTATTTTCATTCGGTGCTTTTAAGTTATCTGGCACATTATGATCAGGTGTCACCTGATATTCCTTCAACAGTTTGCAGCACTGTTAATTCTATGCCGAAAGTTTTTCTAAACCCTTTTGGGATGTTTTTTAGCCACAGATTTTACAGAGCCTAAAAGTGATTGTAATTACTTGTAGATGGTGGAATGTATTAAACTACATGATCTAGATTCATGGAAAATTATTTACGATCAGCCAACTTAAAGTTTCAATGAGGTTTAGGGATAGACTTTACTAATAGTATTTGTAACCCATGTCTAGGATGTGGGAAATCCTTTAATACTTTTCGGGTGCACATGGTATTGTCATTCAGAATGACCTTTGTGACTATCCTAAGTCTGTGGTGTAATCCTTTCTTCATGTTGCTGAATTAAAGATACCTTTATCTTTAAGGCTAAATACCAGTTCTATATTATGTGTAGACATTCATTCCTTTAAGGCTCCCCTATTTATATCGTTCTTCTTATATCTCTAAAGAATATTGTCATCCAAAGTGTGTTTCTTGCAGAGCAATAATATCTACTTTTTTATCTCATTATATTTGATAATAATTCACTTTTAGCAGCTGAAATATCTTATATGTTAGAATGACGAATTCTAGACAAGTCCCTATCATAACATCGAGTGGCTCTTTTTGGGGCCACTCGTTTTTGCGTTGCACATTACCGAGTGAGTGTATTATAGAGTAATAATTATTCTAGGCGTTAGCAGCGCTTTGATGATGGTATTTATTATATTTATTTCTGTTTGTTGTAACATCGATTTTAAAAAAGCATATACAAAGAGGGTCGCAGCAGGCTACCATTATCGTCACTGTTTCTTAAGATGTGTTGATCGTATAATTTCATAGAATAATCGAATTATACAAACAAATTTTAGATAAATAATATTTAGAAAATTTAATTTAAAACAATTTTTATATACATTTTTTTTCTGTGAAATAAATTGTAAATGTAATAATTTTATAAACTTTCCGAATTTATAAAATTAATAGTTTTAATGGTAAAAATAGAACATTTGTATATGTATGTTTTTAGGAAAAAGTATATTTTTTCGAGGAAAAAGAAGATTTTTTTTATAGAAAAATATACCTACAAAAATGTTTCAATAAACTTTTTCGTAAATACTAATGCTTTTAAGATTAACAAAAAATTAAAAATCTATCTTTAGAGTTTTATTTTTAACATTCTTGGGGCACGCCTTATAGTTGACTGATCGTCACTAAATTTTACCCAATTATATTTTTGAGTATTCAAACAATTCTAGGGGGTAGCACTATGCAAATTTTTAAAGCTAATAATTAACGGTGTTTTCATAACTAATGGGCGTGACATAGTACATATACAATCAGTACAAGTTGTATCTAGCTTGTACAGCAATAAAAATTGTAATGAATTTGTAAGTGATTCTTAAATTATGTAATATGGTGTATACCTTAATAGGCTTTTATACGTTTTATAACTTTTTTGTATATGTGAATTACTTACCAGGTAATGATGGTAGTATATTAGCTTTTATAGATAACAGTTATAATATTTGATGATAAAAATGGAAAAGACCTAGAAATTATAGCTAATTTAGTTCTATTGTGTAGTTTATTATTATTTCAGTTTATTATTTTATTATTAAATTATCAGTATATAATTGTGTATATTCTAATTTCATTAAATAAAAGTAATTCAAATAGCCATGTGAGATTCTCATTACACTTTAATACACATAAGCAGTGATGTAGCTAGGGTAAAAGGCCTCCCCCCAATGACAGAAATATTTATCTAAAAATATAAACATTATAAATATTCGTCGTAAAATTAGTAAAAAAAATATGATATTTTGGCTACACCACTGTGTAAGGATTCTAAGAATATTGAATATTACCAGATATTATATAGTTAAACTGTAAATTCTTACAATAGAATAATTTTATGCAAAAACATTCATTAAAATATATTAATAATATTAAAACCACTAGAAATATAAACGAAGACTTTCAACTAATAAAACTAAATACTACCTTAATTAAAATGTTATATGTATACAAAAGAACACAACAATAATTTGTCAAAAAATATTAAGTTAATTATTAATTAAAAATATAAAATAAAAAAAAAAAACCCAGCACAGTGGTGACTTGTCATAGTTGGGTCAAGTATAATGATATCTGACAGTGATTAAAATTACTATCATAAAAAAGACTTCGATGCAAATCCGTAGATAGTGTTTAATTTAAAGAAATTGTTGGATTATTCCAAAAGCTACATAATCTCCTATTTCCTTATTTATATCCTAATTCCAAGTTTTATGATTTATAAGTGTAATATATGAATAAATATTTATATAGCAATTAAATATAGTATGAAATTGACATTTAATAATTTAGTATTGTAATTTTTACGGTGAAACTATAAAAAATTATAAAGTAGTTATTAATTTTATGGCAAACATATATAAAAGTTGAAGGTTTTCATGCAATACTTAAAAAAAAATTGTTATTTATAAATAAATTAACTGGTCTATAAGAAATTTTCATCCAAAACCAAAATATACTTTTCTAAACCCATTAATGCACAGATTTCAAATCTGTAATTAGAGTTACACATATGGCCTAAATATTAACAAAATCCTTCTAATTAATATAACAAATATTTATGTATGATTATTAGGTTACGTATGAATAATCAAAAAATATATTTTAATTAAAAATAAGTTGAAAAAGTTCTACTTTCTGTACGCATTTTAAGTTTTGAACCACCTCTGTATAAAGGAAAATTTAAAAAAAAAGTATGTCGAATATAAGAGATATATAAATAGTATTTCTCATAAAAAATTTGTATTGATCCATACATTTTTTAAGAATTTTATAGAATTATAAAATAAAAAATATAAAAAAGAATGTTTTTACAAAAATCGTATTTTTTTATTAACTTTAATGCCTGTTTTGATCATGAAAAAAAAATAAAGTTCGAAATTTATATCATATTAATATATCTAATATTATAAATAATGAAATAGGAGATTATTTCATTATTTATATCATGATTAAGATTAAGTATGTCGAATGAAAGATATAAATACGAAGGATATAAATATTATTTCTCATAAAAAAATTGTGCTGATCCATACACTTTTCAATAAGTTGTAGCATTATAAAGTTAAAAATGTAAAAAATAAAATAGAGTATTTTCACACAAAAATAGCATTCGGTAGCCAGTTTTACAGTGAAGACAAAATAAAGTCCGAAATTTTTTTTCCCATAATAAAGTACATCACATTAGCTTTAATTTAAGATATATATAAAAGTGTCAGACTTTCCGGAACACTTAAAAAATTTGTCATTTTAAATCCCCCCCTGTAGGCAGGTAAAGGGTCAGATTTATAAAAAAAATATACCAAATAAAAGGTAATGACATCAAGCATCTATATAAAAAAAAATTATATTGATTTGGTAATTTTTGAAAAAGTTATCTCAGTTTTAAGTAAAAAAAAAAAAAAAACATAGTAAAATTAATACCTTCTCCGCTTCGCATCGAAGCTAAAATTGAAAACAATTTGAAAATTAGCGATTTTTAAATTTGTAATTTTTTTGGAGGTTTCCTCCATTTTCAAAAATTAAAATTAAAATTTTCAAAAAAATGATATCAAATAAAAGGAAAATATCTAAGGTTTGAATATAAAAAAAATAACAAAATTTATCAATTTTAAAAACTGTAATTTTTTTGGAAATTTCCTCCATTTACGGGGAACGAGGGAATTTTGTTCAGTTATTGAGGGTAACGTTTTCAAATGGATACGATTTGTGATCTTTTGACGTATCGTTGAAAGAAATCGGTTCGGTGAAAGCTGAGAAAAAGTGACAAGGGTCAATCCATGCCAAATCATCCAGAAGTGGTTGCACGACCACCTCATATTTTTCTTAAATTTTCAGGGTTTATTATTTATGCTATAACTAGATTAAAACAATTTTTTTTTTTTTTTTTTTTATGACCTTCCGATTTTTATGGCTATTTTAATGTAAAAAATGTTGAAAATAGCCAGAACGTTAAAAAACACACAGATTATTCAATATTAACACAATCTAATTAAAATTTTAGGGTTGACCTTATTATAACTTAAAGTTAACATTAAAAAAAAAAAACAAAAAATTTATGTGAAATTTCAAATTTTAATGACTTTCTAAAAATGGTGCTTTTTTTGAGAAAATTGACGTTTTTGAGCTCACTTAAAACCATTAAGATGTTATTTTTTTTTGTGATTTTTAAATATGGTATTGTATAGTGTATAATCTATGTTTCAACTAAATTTCAAATATTTAAAACAATTTTCTTGGGATTTATAGGCCTACAAAGTTAGAAATTTTATAAAAAGACACATATTCTAGGTGCATTATCTCTGTTGGGGGACCTAATTTCAAAAATTTTTTTTTTTAATTTTTTAGTTATATATCTGCTTAATACACCATAAAAATTTGAAGTTTGAGAAAAAAGTTTATCATGTAAAATTTAGCATTAGAAAATCAGTAAAAATCCGTTCAAAATCATGTAATATATTACAATACAATTTAACTATTATATATATATTATAATTATTTAATTCATTATTTTGGATACAAAATAAAAAATAAATAATTTTGGTTTATTCTTTGATTCACGATGCAAAAAAATGCCATTCTGCATCAAAACCAAAGTCGTCAATATGATAACACAGATTAATAAAGTTTTTTTTATTTTTGTATTGACTCGAAGCACCGTCACTAAAATAATGATTTTTTTTTACAAATGGAGCTGTTAATCTAATGTCTTGTATAAGGTGATTTTGAAACGTATGTACAGCAACGGTATTATGTTCCATGTGATCACTAATTATGCATATACATCGACACTTAATTATATTTTCTATTTTATAATAATAAACAAAGGGATGAAGAGTGGCTTATTTATTAACCAAGTGAAAGCTTTGAATTTCATCCTGTACAACAAAATTATAATTTTCTGAAAAATAATAATAATTTTTCTTCTTCATTATTATGATCAGCAAATGAAGATTATCATAAATCAGTGTATGGATCTTTTTCTAAAAATGTAATTAATCTTGCTAATCTATATCAGAATAAGATTATCTAATTAGATATCTATAAAGACAAACAACACCAAAGTATTAGATTTAAAATTAAAAATATCCACAATACAACCTATAAAACCTATACACAATTCTCACAGAAAAGTTTATATGTAATAATTATAATATATAATAGTTACATTGTATTGTAATATATTACATATACAGTAATATATAAAAAAATTACAAAAATATGGTTTGAAAACAACAAAAAACTATCATTAAATACATGATTTTGAACGGATTTTTACTGATTTTCTAATGCTAAATTATACATGATAAACTTTTTTCTCAAACTTCAAATTTTTATGGTGTATTAAGCAGATATATAACTAAAAAATTAAAAAAAAAAATTTTTGAAATTAGGTCCCCCAACAGAGATAATGCACCTAGAATATGTGTCTTTTTATAAAATTTCTAACTTTGTAGGCCTATAAATCCCAAGAAAATTGTTTTAAATATTTGAAATTTAGTTGAAACATAGATTATACACTATACAATACCATATTTAAAAATCACAAAAAAAAATAACATCTTAATGGTTTTAAGTGAGCTCAAAAACGTCAATTTTCTCAAAAAAAGCACCATTTTTAGAAAGTCATTAAAATTTGAAATTTCACATAAATTTTTTGTTTTTTTTTTTTAATGTTAACTTTAAGTTATAATAAGGTCAACCCTAAAATTTTAATTAGATTGTGTTAATATTGAATAATCTGTGTGTTTTTTAACGTTCTGGCTATTTTCAACATTTTTTACATTAAAATAGCCATAAAAATCGGAAGGTCATAAAAAAAAAAAAAAAAAAATTGTTTTAATCTAGTTATAGCATAAATAATAAACCCTGAAAATTTAAGAAAAATATGAGGTGGTCGTGCACCACTTCTGGATGATTTGGCATGGATTGACCCGTAACAGACACAAAAAAAAAACACATCATAGTAAAACTAATACCTTCTCAGCTTTGCATCAAAGCTAATAAATAAATGGTGGAACACTGTATACATATATTTTTCACCAGTCAGATAATTATATTATTCATGTGCGTCATTTAAAAAGTGTTGCATGGTATAACATTGGGCTTTAAAAAAAATAATAAAATACTTAAACAATAATTGTTGCATAATCAACATAGTTCTATAGATATTATATTTTTATTTTACACGAAGAAAAAATAACCCTGGTTTAATTAAAATTTAATTAACAGTATATTTTTAAAGTTACGTGCGTTCTATTATTCTAGTTTTCTTTATTACTGAGAGAAAAGTGACATTATAACTTGGTTGATAGAGAAATAATAGTCATATCGATATGACCCTCATATAAAGTAATATTCCGTCCATTAGTTTTATATAAATGATAAATAAAATTTCAATAATATACTATTGAAATATTATTATTATTGCCTAATAGTCAAGTTTTCAATGATGTTATTGATATTAAACATATCTTAACTATAATTTAACATAATTTTAATGATTTTAGACACTACAATGAAGTGGAGTTACCATTACGATCTATTACTTATCAGCCAAAATCAGGGTTTAGTAATTTTACTGAAGACATAGAAAACCCTGTGATTGACTTGTGTTCATCACCAAAAAAACATTCCATGGTACAGAGTAGATTGTCTAATTTTTTTGTTAAACCGACAAATTATAATGAAGAAGTAACTAATGAACTTCAAAAGATAGATTCTTGTATCAAACCAGAAGATAAAGAAGCTAACAATTATGACAGGAAAACTACTATAGATTCTATCGATGTGAATGATATCATTAGCTCTTCGTATGTATTTTTATTATTTTATTGAAATATGTTTTTTAATATATTTGTATGGTTACAATGTTTAATGTGTTTTATTTCTTGTACAAGTATTAGCTATAGTTGACTTATTTTTATCTAGAAAAGCAATTTAGGGTTATACATTCAATTATTGGCACAGAGAAAAATTTGTATTTCATTCAAAACTATGATTGGAAACTTGAAATATGTTTTACTTGATTAAAAATGGCTAAGTTCCCTCCCAAAATAGTACTGCTATCAAATTAATGATATCTGCATTGTGGCCAAGTTTGCTCTATCTTTAGTTGATGAACACCAATCTTGCTTTTATAAGCAGCATTCCTCTTTTACAGTGGCGTGCGGTAATATTTTATGCTGGCTAAGTGCTAAAATAAAATTTCAAATTAAAACAAAAAAAAGGTATTTTATTAATAAAAATTACAATCTAAAAGATATTTATAGATAAAATCCATTCGTCTTTCTTGTTTCAAAAATTCATTTATAACTTTATCATAAAATTCCGGATTACTTTTTTCTTTATGCAGAAAGATCATTTTATCAGAAGATCATTTACGATTGAAATTAATGATAATGAACTAAGTTATTCTTGTCCTTGTGTAGAGTTTTGATTCGTTTTAACGCCGAAAAATATCGTTCAACTGAAGCTGTTGTACTAGGAATAGTTAAAATTAGTTGACCGAGTTTAAATACTTCTTGGAACGCCGATATTAAATCATTCATCTTAATTTTTTTGACTAAATCATATGGATTAGTATTTGAAAATTCTTCAGATGTGTTTAATACAATCAATTCGTTTCGTAATCTAATAAAATCAAACATTTTTCCGAAATTTAACTCTCGCAAGTTTTCTAGTGCAGAATTTGGAAATTCTTTCGTGTAGTTTGAATATTTATTTGGGTCAATTAATGATAAAAATTCGAATTTATTTAGAAAACCAAAACGTGCTTGCAAATTTGTTAATATGTTATCAAATATTTCATTAAAAAGTACTTTGTAAAATGTTTTCGGGTCACGTATTTTACGTTGTAGCTCAAAATCGCCTTTATCTAATAAAACTGTTTCCCATAATGTTTCAAATAGATTTAACCTATAATTTTGCAGTTGACATTTAGTTTCTCCAATTTTTTTCACACAGTATAAAATATCTAAACATTTAGTTTATAACACTTCATATAAAATATCAGTTAAACTAAATATTTTACTAAATACTATTAGCAAAAAGTATGTTTGTTGACTATCTAAAAAATTGATAAACCCTAGAGATAATACTGCTGTTTCATTATCTAATACGTGTTGAAAAAACTCTATGAAATATGTATTGTATTCGTTAACCGTATTTACTAAGCGAAAAGAAAAATTCCATCTAGTTGGCGCATTTTCTTTCTTGTAAAATTAGATAAAGCATGTGTACGTTTAGATTTAGTAAAAAATGATCCCATACCAGCTAATGTTTGAAAAAAAATCTTACAATATTTTATATTTGATGCTGCTTGTGAAAGTACAAGGTTTAATGAATGACTAAAACAATGAACAAATAATGCTTTTGGGTATAGCTCCTTTACTTTAACTTGTAGTCCTCCAACATAACCACTCATAACGGCCGCTCCGTCGTAAGTTTGATCTACTAATTTATCTTTTAATTTATACCTATTAACTATATCAATTACGTGTTTTAATAAACAGTCTGCTGATCTATCAGAACTAACGTCAACAAATAAGATAAAACGTTCATGCTCTTCTCCGGTTTCATGATGGACATACCTTAAAGTAGTTAATAATTGAGACAGATTTGTTATGTCCGAAGTTTCATCTAATAATATTGCAACAAAATTAGCATTTTTTATTTCTGATTCAATGGATGTTGATATGATGTTGCTAATTGAGCCAATATGATCATTTTGAATTCTATTTGATGTACCACGGAATATTTTTGATGTTTTTAAATGTACGTTTAAAATAGAATCATAAGATGATAATAAATTTATACAACCGAGGAAATTGTCCTGATTTAAAGAAGTAACTCTTTCATTGTGATCGCGAAATGATAATTCGTGGATCGCCAAAAAACAAACACAATCAATAAAACGTTTCTATTTTTTTTTTTTACTAATTCATTATGACGTATTACATCTGAACGTCTCTGTTCATCAAGCAGCAAATCAATTCTAGATTTTCCAAACATTTTTAATTTTAAAACGGAAGAAATATGTGGTTGAGATCGTTCATGTTTTTGAATACCATTTGTTATATTATTAAATTAACAAAACCACTATGAGACCAAATATTTTTTCCCTGGTGAATAAAACACTAGGCCAACAGAAAAGTTCATTTAATTTTGCGCTACCAGCCAACCATGAAGTATTTAAATAATTAGAAATATTAAAATGACGAATGTAAACTTTGTTTTTTTCTTTGTGATTTGTTGTCAATTTTGGAATTTATGGACATGGTCGATCATTTTTTACAATTGTTAATTTTTCATCGAAATTTTTTAAATTAAATTCATTTTTCAATAGATGCTCGATTAAGCAATTGTTTGAATCAGTATTCATTGTTTATAAAAACAAATAGAAACAAAGCAAATCAAATTTGATTCCTCCTAATTATAATAATTTATTTAAATAATAATTATCTATATTTATACCACGATATTATGCTGTAGGAATTAATGTACTTACATTTAAATTTTTGTTCATCACAAAATTGATTATGAGGACTTGTGGACACGTGGACGGTTGACGACATAATAATTTTGTCATTTTTCAATGTACCTGTTTAATATTATAATAAAAAAAAAAAAAAAAAAAAAAAAAA